CCTGAATGGGCAAATCAGACTAGATATTAGTCTTTGACTGACGCGTTCATTCATGCCATAGACATGTACTAAGCATTTACTGCACATAATATACAAAACAAATGAGAAAGGAAGGTTACTATTGCACAACCTCAGCCGGCACCACTCACACAGCAGTCCTGCTGGAAGTTTGTAGGAAGAACTTAGGCATCTGTTCTGCTGAAGTTGGCTTTGATCTTCCTGCTCTCTGAGTACTAAATCGGGGAGACTTGCTATTATTAAACAGAGCATTATTAAGTAACCCTGCTGGTCAGGTGGCCAAAGTGGAGCCTTCCCATTTTATAAGGACTGCCTGTCCAAGGACCAGACTGGTATGGAAGTAGATACTCGCTCTGGCGTTAGAGCTATACTTATCATGCCCTGGGGGACAGCTTGTGGGCTATGCCTAGAAAGCAGTGCCTAGGCCAACTTAGCAATAAAGCAAACAGCCCATACCAGGGACCATGATGTGCAAACCATAGAGAAAGGCAGGTGTATCTGCTGAGGCTGGAATCCAGCCATGAGGCCAAGGGACTCTAGTGGAAGATGGGAAACCACTGAAAATCTCTTGATCTGGGACACATTCAAAGACATAAAAAGACAGGGACATCTGGGGCTACCAAGGAGTTCAAAGGAGATTCCTAAGTCTCTTGATTTCATCTACTTCTATTTTCACTAGTTCTGCAGAAGTCCCAGCCACCGTGACCTCTGGACTATTGCAACAAAATCCTAGTTGGTCTCTCTTCTCCACCTCCAGTTTTTTCTCCATCATGTACCCAAAGTGATTCTTAAACAAACCAACTGCACACAAGTTTGATGGTGTAACACATACCCTTCACCCTCTTTCAGTATCTTCCCATTTTAAGGTAAAGCAAAATTCCTAAGACATCCTTCATGGTGGAATTGTTTACACTACATTTGCAGCCTCACTTCCCACTGACTCTCCTGTTCTCTCCAGTCTCATAACCAAACTGGCCGCCTTTCAGGACCTACCACTTACCAAACTTCCTCCTGACACAGAGCATTTACTTAAATGGTTCCTTTGGATAGAATGCTTCTTCCTCCCATCTTGACTAGTCAACTCTTACTCAACCACCAGTGTCAGTTTATCATCTCCCTTGGGGAAGGTTTTCGCAACTCCCCAACTAGGTCAAATCTCGCAGGCAAGGTTTTCATGCTCCTCTCCTTGACAGCACTTAGTGTGACTGTAATTTTACTTCTCTTGATGTGATCGTTTGATAAATGCCTGTCACCCTTACTAGACCGCAATGTCCATGAGCGCAAGAATGGTCTTTTGGGAGAATCTTTGTGTTCCAAGTGCTCAGCACAGAGCTTGGCACATGGCAACCACTTTTTACATATCTATTGAATGAGTGAGTATGACCAAGAAGTGGGACCTGCCTGCTTCTGATTGTTTCTTTTAATGGACCATGGTGTGTTCTTAGTACTTGGCACTCAGAAGGTCTTGGATCTCCAGGTTTACGGGTAAAGGATCAACCCAAATCAGGTGGGAATTTTGTTAAGTAGAGGACTCTGCACCCTTGGTGACTCTGACCCCAAAATGATGGCAGGCATAGCAAACCTTCCTACCACCATAGTTCCCCTCACAGACTTCAAGTTTGGAAAGATTTCTGTGTGCCACCAAGCTCAACACACAAGTAAGTAGTAATTCATTTGTCTTCTTTTTTGTTCAAAGACACAAAAAGTACGCCAGCTGGAACTGTTAGCATAAGATTACAGTGTTACACTACTATGTTGATATTCTTGCAAACCAAAACAATGATGTGAAAATATCTGATTCATGTGAGACTTTAAATTTTATTAGAAATAACTCAGGGCTTTTATTTTTGTGTTTTGCGGGCTTCTAGAAATCTCAGGCCCTCAGATGGAGAGCCACTTGCACTAAATGCCGCAGAATCAGGACAACAGACCTGGGGTGGGGAGACCTTGCTCTCTGCTCTGCTCTTACTGGGTCCGTCTGACAAGATTGTGACCTGGAATATTTGGTAGTAGAGAATACAGTTAGCCAAGTCATTCGTGTAAGACTACTGACCAGCATGACGTTTTAGGCGGAAGCACCAGCTGAGGATGGAGCAGACAGTGGTCCATGCCGCCACTGAGAAGACAGTTTTCAAAACCTCAGCATGGCTATGCTTAACCTCTTCTTAGTGGTAAACCGTATTGCAATCTGAGGATTGCATTTAGTAATAATTCCAGACATACATGGCTGGTTTCTTAAAGCCAAATAAGTATTTAGATAATAGAGGGCGCAAGAGGTCAGGCACAGGCCTGCCAAAGCTTGACGGTGATGCGTGTTTTCAGGAAAAGACACAGTGATTTCCTTCATTCCTCTTTGAGACAATATCTTTGAAGTCTTCACTTACCGTAAAATAATAGCATATCATCCATATGGAACATGAGGAAATAATTAAAATCTGACTCCAACTTATTTGACAGCAGTTGGGTAAAGACAAATGAAATTTTATATATAAAAGTGCTTTGAGCTTCTAGGAAGAAGGCTCTAATACAAAACCTAAAGAATGCTCACTCTACGTGTTTCTATAAGTAAAAATTACATTTCAATCAATATACTCCCTTTTAATGAAATCTGAAGCTAATTCTAGCTGTAAATTGAGCAGATTCAATGCCATGAGGGAAACGTTGCTATGGATGATCTCTAAAACGCTGGCGTGACAGGTAGGCAGAAAAATCTTGAGCTGACTATGGTGAAAACTGAGACTGTGGCTAAGAGGTTCATTTAAGGTGAGTCAACAGTAGAATTCCTCTGTGCAGATCCTTTTTGAATTAAGTGAAAAATAGCGCTATTATACTTGTCTCCAAAACGGCCTCTAATACCGTTCTCCTGCATCAGTCAGGCTACACCCACCACTAAATTGCTGTTTGAAACCACTAAACTACAGTCTTGTCTAAAGGTTAATGATGCAAACCCATAACATAACATCCAGAAACAAACGGTTTCAGAAAGGGCAAGATAAGTCTTAAACAGCAAGTAATATTTACAGTGTTATTGTAAGTTCACGGAGCACGAGCAACAAAGGATAGCCCTTCATTTTATAGTACGACTGACTGAGGAAGAGCTGTGTTCTGACTCAGAGCTGACTTCCCCTTTGCTCTGATGTTTCGACATTGAGGATGTGCCAGCACTCTTTATGATGAGGTTCGTCCACCTGTAGCTCTGGATGGAGTGTCCTGAAATAGCCATTCCTTATTCTTGGGAAAAGGAAATGGAGAGAGTGAAAGGGTTGGAAGAGACCTCCCTCACTTCAGATCACACCAAACTTGGCCGTCCAGGACAGGATCCACTGCGGGATCTCCTTCTGGCCAACGGAATGATGAGCCAGGAGCGACATGAGAGCCCAGGCGCCTGCAGCGTCTGGGCTCTGTGCCAGCTCTCGCCAACCACAGTGTTTCCAGTGGTTGAGGGGCACCTGGGTGCCATCGCTCTGGAACGTAAAATGAAGAGTTACCAGCCTCATTGCTGCTCCTGGAAATAGTTTTGGTTGGACTTTCTGAATATCAGTGACAGAAAATAATCAGCCAGAAGGCCCTTATTAAAAAGCATGTGCCACTTTCCAAACAGTGCGAGGCTTAGTGGCCAGAATAAAAGATATTTTTCTTCTTAGTCCCTACCTGGCAGAAAGAGGGATTATTGAGGTTCGTGGGCAAGAGGCTATGTGGACCCCTGCTTTTCCTAATTTGTATAGAAATCCCTTATGCTGTAGGAGTGAGGACAGAAGGAAAATAAGAAATGACAAGGTGACTGCTCTGAAGTCAAAATGTATACTAATGCAAATGACCAGAAAAAAACAAAAGGGAAAACAGGCCCTCTGTTTATGAATAGCTAGAATATATTTCCCAGGACTTAAGCAGTGGTCTGGCCACATACAAGCCTTTAATGTGTGTGCATAAGCGGGGGGTTAGCTTAGGAAGGAAACAGAAGCTTACCTGTTCCCCAGTGATTTACATGAGTGAATAATCCAAAACAAACCTAGCAATTAAAAAAAATAGCCAAGAGCCACATTCACATTTGTCTGGGAATTCATGTTGGAGAATGGCCTTTTGGAACTGTAACAATGAAATGCCAACATTTTGATCATTTTAATCATCATTCATAAATCTTGGACAATTTTGCCAAAGTAAATATATTTGCTTTGGGTTAAAATGTACCCATTTTGTACTTTGAAATACTGTTTTCCTTTTTTCAAAAAGCCAGATAATTAACACACAGGAATTTGAACACAACAGAGTGTACCCTGGACTTCTGGTCCAAAACTATTTGATGTTTAAAATGATGGATTTGATTTTGCCTCCCAGATTTAACAAATGTTAACATCTTGCCATACTTGCTTCTTTATTAAAAGAAATAAAATGTGTAGCTGTTGCTGATGCTCTTCTCCACGTGTCCTTCCTATCCCTGTTTTCCTAAAGAAGACCATGAGGCCGCTGAATCTGGCACACTGCTGGGGCCTGCAAGCTGTGCCCTGCAGAACTCCAGCTGTGCGAAGGGGAACCCCGTAATCGCTAGAGAAAGTATCCACCTTTGTTTTCAACCATTCACTGTGGGTGTTTGTGTCTTTACACAATGTTTAGTATGCTTTCAGTGCTTTAAAATGTTTACAAAGACACAAAACTGTGCATATCCTCCTAATTCTTGCATTATTTTTGATTACAGTAGATTGGTGATTACCTGACCACTAACTATCCCTCCCTATTTGTTGCTAACAGAGCCCCAATTTTGTTGAGGTTTCCATTCCTTAAGAAAGGAGAACTGAGCCCCATGTCGAGGGTAAATACCAATTAGTATAAGCAATCATAGTAATCTTACTCCTTCCAAATGGGTAGACTACGCAGGGCTGTGTGCATGCCACTTAACTCTGATCAATGAGACAAGCAGAATCTTGCTGGAAAGCTTCCGGGAAAGATTTCTTATTCTTGAAAGAAACGGCTTTATCTTCTCCTAGATGCTGCCATATCTGGCTGTGGGACCTAGGTCTGTGCAGCCGTCTTGCCACTTTGAGGAAGCCGGCCTGAAGATATGTCCACATAATGACGATGGCAGAGCAGAATAAAGGCAGGACATGGAGAAGCTGTGTTGACCAATCTTCAGGTTATCCTGCCTCAAGCCTCTTTTTATGTGAGTGAATGCATTTCTTTTTTATAAGCCATATGGATCATACTTTTATTACTTTCAGTAAAAAGTATCTGCTTTTTTCGATGTTGGGAAATACAGATTTTTTTAAATCTTTTTAATTGCTGAACAGTTCAGCTGCATGTTTATCCATTCCCTGTTAATGGACATTTAATAAGTGTTTGCCGTTGCTCGCAGTGTTGCAGCAAACACGCCTGCATGTGTCTTTATGCGTGTTGTGTAAGTGCAGTCGTTGGTCACATACGTAGGCTCTGTACATCTTCACCTGTATTACATATTTCTGAATTGTTCTCCAAAGAACTTGAAACAATTTATGCCTGCAGCAGTCTACATGACCGTCTCTTTCCCAACATCACTGCCTTTTCAGACGACTTTTAAATTTTGGCATTTTCAGACTTTTAAATTTTGCCTTCATGTTGAAATGGTGTCTTCTTGTTGCTTTCATTTGCATTTCCGTGTTTTCAAATGAGATTGAGAAATTTGAATGTATTTGTTAGCCGTTGAGATTTCATTTAAGTCATTTATTCATTTTTCCATCAGATTATTTGGTTTTTGGAATTATTTTAGTAGTCTAGACCTTAATGCTTTAAAAGTGGTAAGCACTATAAATATCTTCTCCCAGTGTCTTTGATTTATGGTATCTTTTGTGACACAGGCATTTTATACTCGAATGTAGTCAAACTTATTGATGTTTTAAAAATCATGATGTGATTTTCATGTCTTCTTTAAAAATTCTTTCCTAACTGAGGTCATAATGACATGACCCTAAATTTTCTTAAATATTGTAAAGTTTTGCTTTTCACATTTAGATTTTTAATATATCTAGTCCTCTTTGTTTTGCTCCTGTCTTTAATGAGGTGGAGACTTCTAAGGTTTCTTGTTGTCTGAATTAGTTATATCAGTTAAGATACAATCAGAAAACAGAAACCGTGCTAGGTATTTCAAGGAAGGGAATTTAATATGGAAAATTGGTTACACGGTGTAGAAGGAGCGCAAGGACAAAAGAGGAAAGCTTTTTTTAACTTAAGCAAGCAGACACCAGCTTTAGGTCTGGGAGAAAAGGAGGGAGAAGCTGAGACTGCCAGATCCTAGAAACTCAGGAATCCCCTGCAGACCTTTAAGAAGGGAGCCACACCTGGCTCCTGCAGGGACTTCAGGTGGGCGTGATGAGGCTGGCTCAGTGAGTGTTGGAAGAATGAGAAACTGGAATGAATTACCGCTGCCGGGCTGAACTGCAGCAGCCTGGGTGAGTTGCTCTGCTAGAGCAACACTAACAGGAAAATAAGAAAAGAGAATAAAGTTCTCCCCTCTTCCTGCACGCCAGCCTGCCTCTAGCATCTCCCAGGGGCAGAACTTAAGGGGAAACCAGGTAACAAAGGAATCTGGAAAATGTAGGTTGTGTTTGTCCAGTTGCGGTTTTACTGGGCAGAGCATAACCAAGTGGATTTTAATCCAAGAGACAACACTGGTAGATAAATCACCCATTAGTGGTGTCCACCGTGGGCTAGATGCACCCAAGGGGACATGCAACCTGATTCACTGGAGGACGGGAGGAAAAAGAAGTTCAATTTTGCTAATATTTAACAAGACCATTTAATTTAGAATTTTCACACTGGTGCCCCCACTCAATCTGCGTGAGCATTGTTGAATTTAAAGATAAGCTAAACGCTTTTACCAAAAGACCTATACTCCAAAGTTGACCTTTGATAAGGTAAGTTATTGTTGGTAGTATGCTACCTTGAGGATATTTTTCTTAAAAACAAACACCATTAATCTGACCCTTCAAGATAAAGGTGACATTTTAGCAACAAGTGAGAAACAGCTTTTCAAAAGAAGCCTCTCATATATGAAGAATTCAGGGAGCATAGTTCTATTATTATGTTACTTTGTTGGCAAAATAGATATCTATCAGAAGTTTCATCTGCATAAATAATAATCTCAAAATTAGAATGTTCTAGTCTAAACATTTCCAAATGGAAGATTCTAGTGTATTTTGAATCCACTTGCTAAAAATGTAAAAATAGATTACCTTCTCATTTTTCAGGATTGACATTAGAGAATATGGAACTTTACTAGCTGAATTTTGTCAAAACCACTCATAATTGGTGGATGAGCCTAAAAATGAATCTCAAGACTTAATAAATGCAAACAATGACACACTTTTTCCATTTGAACCTATAGGTTATTGTTAGTTATCTTTTTAAAACTAAAGCAGCTATTAGCATCAAATGTAAAATAAGCTGAACCTAAAACCAGATTTTTGAATCACTGTAGGAAAACTCATATTTTAAACTAAGAAAGAATATTTGCTTTCAACAACAACAAAAAAACATTAAATGAAAGCAAAACACTTTTATGTTGTTAATAAATAAAATATTATTCATTTCACTTTTGTCTTATTTTTAATTTCTCTTGTTTATAATTTAACTTTAAACATAGTTCAGTAATATGTGGATATAATTTATGAACAAATAAATACGCTATAGTGGGTCTATGTGAGTGGATCTGATTATTTTCAGTCTAATGAAATATGCAGTGAGACGTATGACCAAAAATGTTTGGAGAGAACTGTTAAAATGTCAAGAGTTAATTTGAGCAAAAACTGATTTGAATGGGGCAGCATGCAATCTAGCAGACAGAAAGGAAACCTGAGGACCTGTACAAAATGGAAGACTTTTATAGGCAGAAAGGAGCAGGACCAAGGAAGTTCTACTAGACAAAATGGCGGGTTGGTTACTGCGAAGTTACTTTTCTTTAGGAGACAGTGAGGGTCTGTCGGGCAGATCACCTAACTAGGGCTGATCTGAGTTTCAGATTCCATTTCTGGGAGAGCCGATATGTGATCAAGTCTTGGTTTGGTAACATGGGCCTAGCATAAGCAACTTCATTTTGGGCGTGTTAGCATGTTTTTAAGACTACTCAGCTAAGCAGTTGTGATGTTATACTGGTTTGAACTCCTAAATCTAAACTATGTAATATCCTAAGAGACAACCCAAAATATTATGTAGACTAAGAGTTTGAAAGCTTCTATTTCCTAAAAAGTTACAACATGTAACATATGTTTTGATTGTTCTACAACTAAATACTCTAGAAGTTTTTATAGCATCAAGTGCTTTGATGAATAAGGGACTGACTTCAAACTATTAGTCCGACATCCTTTATAAAATCAGTCCTAGTGTATGCGGTTTTCTAAATTTCTCTTTTGTACTTATATATAATTTACTTCACAGAGTTTTTGTAACTTTCTAAAAGTCAAACTCCGATGTATTAGCAGAATGTGTATTCTGCCTCATATTTGATCATGTTTCCCACTTCATTGCGTTTTTATTCTCAAGTCCCTTTACAGACATGAGCAAGTCACTATTTAGGTTCCATCTCCTCATTTGAGCAACAAAGGGGTTGGCATAGATATCAAAGGACTCTCTCAAACCTCAAGTTTTTGATACGACATAGAAAACTAATCTAGAATGGGGCTTTTCAAACTATTTCATTAAATTTCAGAATTCCAGTGAGCTGACTTTCAGAGTTCTCGCGCTGGCAGTGTCCCCAGGGCTTGCATTAGGTGCGTGCACTTTCTTCTGCTCCAGCTGCAAAGATACTCCAAAGCAAGACTCCACCACAGTTGTGTGCTGCCGGTGGACAGCAGATGACTCGCCAGGCTGCCCTCTGGGTCTCCAGGTATTGTTTCTAAGACCCTCTCTGGGGCAGGCAGCATTTACGCCTATCCTGTGCGCTGTAGTTGGTGCTTGCTTTCATGGGCTTCACCTGCCGACCATTTTGTAAGTCATCTTGCCTCTATCCTCCACTAGCCTGGAATCGTCTCTGGTTTTGAGGCTTGCACACTTGAAGGGTATGGATCTGGTCTTCCTTCCCGTCTTTCTCCTCAGACTAACAATACCCCTAAGGGTTCCTTGAAAGAAAAATCACACAGCCATTTGGGGTATGTTTGTTTTGAGTCAGCTCCACCCGCAGCCGGCACTGCCCCAATCCTGCAATGAGAGTTTGGAGTCTAAGGCATGAAAAGCAGCCCATAAGAATTTCAGAGACTCATAAAGTTTGCAAACTAATGATCTAGGCCTTTCATTTTCTTTGGAAAGGTGGCAACCCAAAGTTTCACGGAGCCAAAAGGAATTTTTAAGACCTAAGAAAATGCCTTTATTTAGACTTTCATTCCTTGAAATGTTAGACAACTTGTCACTCTCCAGTAAAAAAATCAAAAATCAAAAAGACCTCTGTGTAAAGGATAAAATGGCCTTCACAGGGGCAAAAATAAGACAATCTGATCTATGACGGGGGTAGAATGCCATGACTAGGAGCCACAGCAGACAACAGCCGCGGGATGGGAGACGGTTGACAGGGACAGGGCCAAAAAGACAAAAGAGAAACAGCTCACTGGGGAGTGCTTAGAAGTCCTTTCCTGTGCTCTACAGTGGAAAAACCCAGAAGCACCAAGAGCTCAGGAGATAGACTTAGACTCAGAAACCTATAAAAGAAACAAAGAAGAGCCGAGCAGAGCCAGACTCCGGGTCAGCCTGGGTGATGAACCATGGTTGCTCCAAATATCCCACCCCATTGCTTGGGTACTTGAAATGTCTCCTATTAGTCATTCATTTGGGTGGTGACACTATCTCTAGAGTGCAAATGGTAGAAATTACATTAACTCAAAGGGAAGAAAGAAAGGAAGTCTTTAACAGAAAAACATGGATTAATTTTTCAAATTCTTTGCTACTCTGGAAATCCAAGGATGAAGTCGTAGGAGAATCTAGCACAGGAAGGAGTATTTTAATGGAGCCACTCAGTGGCTTACTAAAATATAACCTTATTTAATGCTCTTAATATCATCTATCACCCTCTGATAGCTTTTCTTTTTTCTCCTTCTCTTTTTGTCTTTTATTCTTGACTCCTTTCTTCAGCGTTCACAGACACAGAAGCACATCTGTTTACCACCCTATGCCCAGTGCCTGGTCCATGGTAAGCTCTGAAGAAATACTTGTTAAATGACTGATGAGTGAGTGAATGAATGAATGAGTGATTTGAGGAAAAACTAACGTATGAAGAGATCCAGAGGTGTATGTTTGTGCATGTTTGAAAAAAATGAGCTGAGGTACGGTGCTGGGAACATGAGCAGAGGAGAAAAATGAGGAGTTAGGTCAAATGCCTTGGTTTGGCACCTAAAGTCAGGACAGAAAGAGGGTTATCAAAAATAAATTTCCCATTTTCCCCAATACTGGCCCTGGAAGTAAATACACTCACTAATCTGGACTATTACCGTAGCTCAGAACTGTTGAAAAACCTGTGGAATAAGGCACGGACAGTGCCACTTCTGTATTTGGCCTGGGCCTCTACCAAGAACATCCCATGAGCTTGGTAATAAATGGGACAGAACTGGGTGCTCTGAAATGCCTGCTTTTAATTTACAGAAATAGCAAGCATTTTGGCTACCTCCATGGCGGTCCTTATTAAGCAAGTGCATGCATTCGATGCTAGTGAAACCCTGGCTGTGAACCTTGGTGGTGCTATTCGTGACTGACTCCAAAGTTCCTGTATAGAAAATAGATGAAAAGAACCTTTGAGAATTTTAAACTTTAGTAGCAATTTCATCATTTAATTCATTCCTTCAAGTAATGAGAAAAAAAAAAAACTGGTTTGGGAGTAAATTGACTTGCCTATGTTCCTTTCAAAGAGCTTGGGTCTGATGGAGAGGTACGGATAATGGAAATAGCCCGGAATGTTCCCAGTCTTCTGTAACTATACATTTGTTTGCTTCGTTGCTGCGTTTTCTTTTTCTCTCTCCTTCTTTTTCCCGCTGCCCCTTTCTTTTGTTTTGTTTTATTTTGTTTTGTACACTGGAAGGAAGAAATCTGGGATTACCCGAAAGCAAGATGAAGACCCAACACACACCCCTCATTTTATTTTTAAGGGAAACTCTGTGTGTTCCTGTCCATACTATTTCCTCTTCAGAATTTAATCTTTTTTTTTTTTCAGGAATCAATATCAGGATGCTGATTTTTCATTATTATTATTATTATTATTATTATTTATTGCAGTAACATTGGATTATAACATTGTATAACTTTCAGGTGTACATCGTAATATATTTCAATTTCTGTGTAGATTAGATCATAGTCACCACCCAAAAGCTAATTACAATCCGTCACCACAGACATGTGTCTAATCACCCCTTTCACCCTCCCCCCTCCTCTCTTCCCCTCTAGTAACGACCAGTCCAATCACTGTTGCTATGTGTTTGTTTGTTGTTGTTTTTATCTTCTACTTATGAGTGAGATCATACGGTATTTGACTTTCTCCCTCTGACTTACTTCACTTCGCATAATACCCTCAAGGTCCATCCATGTTATCACACATGGCCGGATTTCATCATTTCTTATGGCTGAGTAGTATTCCATTGTGTATGTATACCACATCTTCTTTATCCATTAGTCCCTTGATGGGCATATAGGTTGCTTCCAAGTCTTAGCTATTGTGAATAATGCTGCAATGAACATAGGGGTGCATGTATCTTTATGCGTTTGTATTTTCAAGTTGTTTGGATAAATATCCAGCAGTGGAATAGCTGGGTGATATGGTAGATCTATTCTTAATTTTCTGAGGAAGTTCGTACTGTTTTCCACAGTGGCTGCACCAGTTGGCACTCCCACCAGCAGTTTATGAGGGTTCCCTTCTCTCCACATCCTCTCCAACATTTGTTGTTTCCTGTCTTGTTAATTATAGCCATTGGGACGGGAATGAGATGATATCTCATTGTAGTTTTGATTTGCATTTCCCTGATAGCTAATGATGTTGAGCATCTTTTCATGTGCTTGTTGGCCATCCTTATATCTTCTTTGGAGAAATCTCTGTTCAGATCTTTTGCCCATTTTTTAATTGGGTTGTTGGTTTTTTTGTTGTTGAGATGTAAGAGTTCTTTGTATATTTTCCATATCAACCCCTTATCTGATATATGATTTGCAAATATCTTCTCCCAATTGTTAGGTTGTCTTTACGTTTTGTTGATGGTTTCCTTTGCTGTGCAGAAGTTTTTCGTTTGATGTAGTCCCATTTGTTTATTTTTTCTATTCTTTTCCTTGCCCAGTCAGACATGGTATTTGAAAAAATGCTGCTCAGACCAATGTCAAAGAGCACAGTGCCTATGTTTTCTTCTAGAATTTTTATGGTTTCAGGTCTTACATTTAAGCCTTTAATCCATTTTGAGTTGATTTTGTGAATGGTGTAAGATAATAGTCTACTTTCATTCTTTTGCATGTGGCTGTCCAGTTTTCCCAACACCATTTATCAAAGAGACTTTCCTTTCTCCATTGTATGCTCTTTGCTCCCTTGTTGAAAATTAGCTGTCCATAGATGTGTCCGTTTATTTCCGGGGTCTTCATTCTGTTTCATTGATCTGTGTGTCTGTTTTTGTGCCAGTACCATGCTGTTTTTGTTACTCTAGCTTTGTGGTATATTTTGAAATCAGGGAATGTGATACCTCCAGCTTCGTTCTTTTTCCTCAGGATTCTTTTGGCTATTCGGGGTCTTTTGTTGTTCCATATAAATTTTAGGTTTCTTTGTTCTATTTCTGTGAAAAATGTTGTTGGAACTTTGATAGGGATTTCATTGAATCTATAGATTGCTTTAGGAAGTATGGACATTTTAACTTCTAATCCAAGAGCACGGAATATCTTTCCATTTCTTTGTGTCTTCTTCAATTTCTTTCAACGATGTTTTAAAGTTTTTGGTGTACAGATCTTTCACCTCTTTGGTTAAGTTTATTCCTAGGTATTTTATTCTTTTTGTTGCAATTGTAAATGGGGTTGTATTCTTAATTTCTCTTTCTGCTACTTCGTTGTTAGTGTATAGAAATACAACTGATTTCTGTATGTTGACTTTGTATCCTACAACTTGATTGTATTCACTTATTATTTCTAGAAGTTTTTTAGTGGATTCTTTAGGGTTCTCTCTATATAAAATTATGTCATCTGCAAATAAGTGACACTTATTTGCAAATAAGTTTACTTCTTCTTTTCCAATTTGGATCCCTTTCATTTCTTTTCTTGCCTGATTGCCCTGGCTAGGACTTCCATTACTATGTTGTGTAAGAATGGTGAAAGTGGGCATCCTTGTCTGGTTCCTGTTCTTAGACAGAGAGCTTTCAGTTTTTCTCCATTGAGAATGGTAATAGCTGTGGGTTTGTTCACATATGGCCTTTATTATATTGAGGTATTTTCCTTCTATACCCATTTTATTTAGTTTTTATCATAAATGGATGTTGTATCTTGTCAAATGCTTTCTCTGCATCTATTAAGATGATCATGTGATTTTTATTCTTCATTTTGTTAATGTGGTGTATCACGTTGATTGATTTGCAGATGTTGAACCATCCCTGCATCCCTGGAATAAATCCCACTTGATCATGATGTATGATCTTTTTAATGTATTGTTGTATTCCATTAGCTAGTGTTTTGTTGAGGATTTTTGGATTAATGTTCATCAGTGATATTGGCCTGCAATTTTCTTTTTTTGTGTGTTGTCCTTGTCTGGTTTTGGTATCAGGATAATGTTGGCTGCGTAGAATGAGTTAGGAACTCCCCTCCTCTTCAATTTTTTGGAAGAGTTTGAGAAGGATAGGTATTAAGACTTCTTTGAATATTTGGTAGAATTCACCAGGGAAGCAGTCTGCACCTGGACTTTTATTTTTTGGGAGGTTTTTGACTGCTGTTTCGATCTCCTTACTGGTGATTGGTCTATTCAAATTCTCTAATTCTTCTTGATTCAGTATTGGAACATTGTATGATTCTAAGAATTTATCCATTTCTTCTAGATTATCCAATTTGTTGGCATATAGCTTTTCATAGTATTCTTTTATAATCTTTTATATTTCTGAGGTGTCCATTGCGATTTCTCCTCTTTCATTTCTGATTTTATTTATTTGAGCTTTCTCTCTTTTTTTTTTGGTGAGTCTAGCTAAAGGTTTGTCAATTTTGTTTATCTTTTAAAAGAGCCAGCTCTTGGTTTCATTAATTTCTTCTATTTTTTTAGTCACTATTTCATTTATTTCTTCTATGATTTTTATTATTTCCTTCCTTCTGCTGATTTTGGGCTTTGTTTGTTCTTCTTTTTCCAGTTCCTGTGGGTGCACTGTTAGATTGTTTATTTGGGGCTTTTCTTGTTTGTTGAAGTAGGCCTGAATTGCTATAAACTTCCCTCTTAGAACTGCTTTTGCTGGATCCCAAAGATTTTGGCATGTGGTATTTTCATTTTCATTTGTCTCCAGAGAATTTAATCTTTACTATTTCTGTTTTTCAAGGCTAACTGTGCTATAATAATCCAGGAATATTTCCTAATACTTCGGGAGGAAAAATTTAAGAAAGGAGGAAAGAGTATTTATGGGTCTGTGAAGGCAAGGTAAAGAAAACAAGAGGACCTCATTGGACACTGCATGTTCTGCTTTACGGAAGTTGTCAGGTGACATCTCAAGGCTAAGGGCCTACTTAAGGGCCAAAGTTTCTTTTTTGTGTGTACTGTCATCTTCCAGGGTTATCATAAGAGTATTGTAATTACTATACTTTGAAAAGGTCAAGGGTCTCCAACCATGCGTATCACTCAGTACGTGAGAGAGATGTGCATCTTGGGAGATGAGAGAAGGCTTCCTTCTTCGAAGGCTCACCACTGCTTCCAGTATTTCAAAAGTCACTTCACCAGAAAGTCTTCACCTGACTGGGGGCAAGTTCTGGAAAGTACAATATGAAGTACTATGTTCTTTTTGTTCATACTTCTGATTATATATTTATGTATAACTAGAGGGAACATAATTTTTAGGGTGTAGCTGTCAGGTGAGTAATTTTCTGGAATGGATTAGTTATTAAAAATAATTCTCTTCAAAATACAGACACTGTATCAAGCATGTCCCTCTTGCTCAATCCACTGGAACTGTGTCGGTCCCTACTGCACTTGACCTAAGATCCTCTGTTGGC